AAAGGCAGATCTTTAAGATCATCATGAATGTCAAACTATAATATCTATGAAAGAGAGAATATGAAGTAATTAAAATATTATGGTTCGCTTACAAAATATTAAAGTAATTAAAATAGAAATGCAAAATTGAGCTGGGAAATTGGATTATTTGGATTTGCGTTGAGAAATCGAAGAATTGGATTTGATTTCGAAGAGAATTAGGGTTTTCCAAAGAGAGATTGTTAAAGATATAGAAGGGAATGTGGAAGAAGAAGCGGAAGAGTTTATCGGCGATGTCGCGACGTTGCGCGAATTTGATGTGCGCCTAAAATGGCGAGCACAAGAGGAGTGGATGGGCCTTTTTTTGGCCACTTGTCTTTTTTTCTTTATTTATTTATTTTTTGTTCAATGGGCCTTTTTTTGGATTAGTTAGCAAGCTGAGACTTTGTTTTCGAATGCGTTGGTACTTAACTTTGTGATAAAAATTCTAATGGTGAAGATCTTATTATTTTTCATATTAATCTTCATCTTCATCTTCCTTGCTTAAATTTAACGGGAGCCTGATTTTCGTCTATTAGTTTTATTTATTTATCGTTTTGATTTTCTGCTTTCCGTTCTTAATGTTGGATCCACATACTTGTTTTGTTTTTTGGGAAATATGTTTCTATTTGATGTTCTGACTTCGTTCAACCAAAAAATAAATAAATAAAGAAAACCAATTTTCCAATTTGAATTTTCAAGCAACATGCACTATAAATCTCAAGGTCATGAGTCCTATAGTCATTCATGTCATCTTAGTTTTTCAAAATTGATGATTTGTCATCTAAGTTTAACACCATTTAATTTTTATCCATTTTAAAATGTATTTTAGTCTTTCCATTTTGAAGGAAAAAAAAATAAAGGAAAAAGAGATCTCTCTCTTCCTTTCCATATTTTAAAATACCATTTTCACTTCTTTTGAGTGTTGGAGTATGCACAGTCACTCCATCACTTAATATTTAGCAAAACAAATTGTGAGGATGATGTATGTCAACATAGAAGGGTTTTACGATTACAAAGTATTTGAGATTTTGGTCAAACTTTATCATTCTTAGGGGTGTATTCAATCCATACTTATAATGACTTTTTTTTTAAGTGAGTGACTTTCATTTAAAGATTTTTAATGACTATTATAGAGTTTATAAATGTAAGTGACAAACTTGTAATGACTTTTATCATGAGTTGTATAGAGTTTTATCTACTTTTTATAATTATTTTATGATTATAAAACTCTTTGATTTCAAACTGCCACACGCCAACTCCCTTCTCTTCTTTATCTGTATCCCTCTCTCTTCCTCATCATTCCCTCAATCCAAACTCTGCTCCTTATTTTAAAACACTGGAAAATCTGAATATCAGAGCTCAATCCCTATCATAATATTGAAAAATAGTCATAACCATAGCCATCCAAGACTCTTGAATTTTTTAGCTGAAAATCTAAAAAATCTACTACGACGACATTGTTTGTCGCTGTAGCTTGGTCCAATTTCGAAACCAATTCCGATCACATTCTGCGAGAAAATAACATTTTCTTAGCTGAAAGGCTGCTACTACGAGAAAAGGTAGTTCCTTGTTGAAAATAATCGTCGCTAACGCCACATTTTGTTGTAGTGTGGTGACCGTGAGACACAATGGAGAAAGTAAAGTAAATATAAGTAGTAGAGGAAAAATTGATAGGTCAAAAGAATCTCATTCATAGTAGGTAAAATTCGGTAGGTGCACATGGATTCGAAACTTGCAGAACTTGGAACTGAAAATGCTGATCTGACACAAGTACATACTACATTATTTTGTGAAAGAAATGACAAAATTCTTTTCCAATGTGACCCTTTTCAGGGGGAGGTCAGGCAATGTTGGAGTTTTACTTTCACAAGTTTGTAAAGTTTTCGAGGAAAGATGGAATTGCCTTGATTAATGAATGATTTGAAAGCACATGCAAGTCGATGTCAATAATTAAAAATAACTACATAACATCAATAAATAGATTATCCTCGATTTGATGAGAAACACTATGGAGGGAAAAAAGTTCAGGTACTTGGTTTTTCTTTGTGGGGAAATGATTTCAGATCTCCTTCCTTTCTTTAAGATTTTTGTGTCTCACATATTGAAGAGAACTCCCATATTGGTTTGAGGGGAATTTTTATGGAGTGAAGAGAGTTCACCCAGGAAAGAAGATGGAGTATGTGGGTGAGTGGCCTTTGGTGACAACGATGATGCAGAGTGAAGATAGGAGAGAGACAAAAAACTTTTAAAAATTTAAAACGTTTTGTTGAAGAGTTTAAAGTCATTAGGAAATTAGCAAGACTTTTGGTGTTAACAATTAGGCTTAAAAGTATATAAAAGTCATTTACTTAACAAACTCTTTAAAAGTTATTAATTTTTTGGATACCACCAAACTTTTAAAGACTCTTTAGAAGTCACAATTGAATACCACTATACTTTGATAAACTCTTTAAATATCTTAATTGAATACCCTCAGACTTTTTAATTCTGTGAAAGTCTTTAATTTTCTATAAAAGTATTGATTGAATACACCCCCCTAGTTTTTTTTAAAATTTTTTTTTGTTGACAAAATTGGCAGTTGTGTAGTCTTTGGATATAATTAATGAGGTGATTGACTCTCAAAAACGTATTGCATGGTTGGTGTTTTAAATTGTATAGTTACAAGTTGCCCTACTCTTTGATTATTACTTTCTTAAATTATATGGTAAAGTGAATATATGCCTGAGATATGCTCATTTGTGTTTACTTGAAGGAAAGAAAAAATAATAGTATTTTTTAATTGGAAATACCCATTGTAATAGTGTTGGTTTTTTTGTTTTTTTGGGGGTCAAATGAATGAACATGTCATTACCATAGAGTGTTATATAAAAGCCCAACACAAAAGTCAAAAAAATAAAACAAGGATTCAACCAAACAAAATAAAAGCCCAATCCTAAATACAAAAAGGCCCAAAACAACCAAAAGACCCCAAAATAGTTGAACAGCCAAATCTTGGGTTTCAAATCTCCATAATATCTTTAAAATAAAGGAATTTAGATTTCACCCTCAGATAAGATTTGTTTTTTCAAAAAAAGAAAAAATTAATGTTGTACAGACTGAGGTAATTAGCTAGCAGTTGACCGAAAAAAAAAGGGGAAATTAGGCTAGCTAACTTTTACATAGGAAGGCAGGGTGTACAATGAGTTTGTCTTGGGGCCCACCCAAATTAAAATTCACAGCACCGTTGGCATACAATATGTATATTGAAAATGGGTGAGTTGGTCGAATGTTGTTTTGGAATGGGTGCGTAAAGTGCTTTCGTAAGGAGCAATGGTTGTGTTAATTATTATATTTATGTTCTGAAATTACTATGTTTATAACATTCCTAAAATACGCCAATTTTCTTAAAATATCCTTTAATTGACATCGAAAAATATGAATAGATGAAATCTATGCCTGTCATGTAGGTAATTAATGAAAAGTTTGATGGTGAAGTTAACGCTGGAATCATATTGCAAATAATTAAAAAGATTAAGGTACTTGATTGTTAAAATTGAGAGTGCACGGGCAAACATACCTTAAGGGTGAGAGTTTAGGATACTAAATTGAGATTAACCTTAGAATTAGAGTAACAAATTAGTTTGATAAAGATTTTTAATGTAAATCTTAGCTGAATTAATATTTGATGAAAGGGTCAAAATTTGGCTGCAAAGAAGCAACCCCTGAAAATGGAATCCTTTTATGATAATTGCTTAAAAGTATTAGAGTATGTGATATTAGGGAAACAGTTTACATATTTAGTATCAGTTAATATGAAAACATAAATAAATAAAAGATTTAACTTTCAAATTACCAGCATCTATTATGAAACTACACTAAACAAACACGTTTTGTTCAACTAAAAAATAAAAATTGGTACAGTCAACCATGCTGGGCTAGCCCATCAAAACAAAGCTATTGGTCAACTTGGGCTTGACTTTGCAAACTGTTGACCAGTTAACATGGCGGGTTGAGTTGGGTTGAGCACAATATCTTTTGCAGAAATAAATAGTTTGAAAGTGTTTGATTTTCTGTTACAAAGAGGGCTAAACCCAGAGAACAACTAAACATAAATCAATCTATGCCTTAAAAGGTCATCCTTGTAATCTTGAAGTACACCAGTAATACTACCACAGAGTCAGCAGCAAAGTTAACCTCCCTGTAAATATGAAAGATGTTGCAGTCCTAGGAACTCTTCCAACACGCTCTGCGCTTATTAAGTTTTAAATCCCGTGCAATTCAAGGTCACATTACAAATTATGTCAAATTTCTTCTAATTTCGTCCAAAATACCCTTTCACACAATTAAAACCACAAGGATAAAAGTGGAAAATCCGGCAAACTAGAGAGACCAAAAATGATTTTGCCTTCACTTGTTAGTAGGCAATATCACGTGTGGCCTAAATTCAAGTCCCGCTACCGACAATTCCCCTCAGTATTCCATGGCTTTGGGATGGGGTACAAATTATCATCGCTCTTATAATCCTTGTATAAATATCAACAAAAGGCATGCATATATGGTGGAAAAAACAGAAGGAAAAAAAAAACAAGAAAGAAAGATTGGAGCCTGTTGCACTAACATATAATTCTGAGCACTAAAAAGAGAAGTGAGTCAAATATACATCTAGCTTCTAGCTAAAGAAATAGCACAACGATTCATTCAGCCCTTGCAAAAAAACTATCAATAAGCAAGCATTGCACTTGCAAGTTGCAAGTTTCTTAAATAGAAACACAAAATCAGGAGTCTTTTACTAATTGGGGTTACATCTCATAATTCTATTTCACATAACCACAGAATTTTCTCCTCGGACTCGAGCCATGTACAAGTGAAAGTTTTTGTCACCCCTAGAAAGTTTATCCCTTTTTTAGCTCTTCTTCTCTCAACTGTGGGTTATTTTTTGTATGCTTATACTGCGATTTTCGAGCTTGATTGGCTGCTTGTTGTAACTTGTTATACCACCCCATTCTCATAGCTTGTGGTCTTTTATTTGAGCAATGTGAGAAAATGCGTCCAGTATCTATGCCAAGATTGATTGATAGATATGTGGTGAATCTCCAATCCTTACATATTACATGATTCTCTTTGTTATCAAATGTTTATAGTCCAAAACTGAAATGCTGCTGCACAAATTCTTTGGCTCAAAGACTAGATATGAAATGATAACGACATTGTGAAATTTCTTGAAACCTAACCACAAATGAAAATTCTTCTGACCGAAATTAACACTAGGTTAATTTCTACAGTTAATGGGCCAATTTTTTGCTTAATTAACTGAGACCCAACCACCCCTAGAGCTATTTCAATGTCTAAAAAGAACCAATTGATGCTTCCGCGGCTAGGCCCTTGGGACAGAAGCCAGTCTCGAACATTGACTAGCGCATGGTCAACCATCACTTCGGACAAAAGGGTCCGATGCTACAGTGCCCCACGCTACAGTACGTCACTTTGGACAGATTTGTGTCCAAAGCTTCAGTAAATCACTTCGGACATAAAGTGTCCTACGCTACAGTAAAAACCAATTAATGTAATAATAACAAAATTAAATGGGTTGTAATTACAGCTCGTGAAATTTCTTGAAACCTAACCACAAATAAAAATTGTTCGGACCAAAATTAACACATTATAATTTCTATAGTTAATGGGCCAATGAACAAAAACGTAGCAAAAGATTGTATAAAGAACTATTGGCCCAATTTGCTACAGCGAGGATAAAAACAACAGACCAACAAACAAATTGATCACCTGTGGAAGGCACCAAAATTTATTAGTGAGATGTCATTAAAATTAATAAATTTGAAGAATGAAATCCCTTCTTCACTTAAAAAAAGAAGTTCTGAATTTCAGTAGAATCCCTATTTTTCACATTCTACAACATAACCTGTTCTCTTTTGACATATTAGTTTCAAAATTTTCAAAAATTAAGTTGAAATACCTAGAAATTCATCCTGGTCAAAAGTTCGAAAGTTTTTAACCACTAGTGATTTAATTAAGACGACAAGGAATTTTATGTCTAAAATACTAGAGCCACTCTAGATAAGAAATTACTGCTTTCATAGATTGAACGGTCATCGAGTAAAATGCTTTTATCGGATATCAGGTTCGTAAAAATAAGTTTGGTATGTCAACTCCCACAATCAAGAAAATAAAAGGTGAAAACAAGCCATATATGGAAGAACTATAGAAGACAATTACCCAATGGACAGCCATGCAAAACTGACTTTGCCTTCGCCCTGATACGCCCAGGAAGAATTTCTGATAGGAGGAGACTGGGCACTGGACCAGCTCCAAGAGAAATCATCAAGACAAACCTGCATAAACCATTTGATAATAAAGAGTCGACATTTACAAATCCAAAACAGCTCCTATGCATATTTGCTTTAGTATTTCAGAGTCATGTAAAGATAGCATGGGGAACTGTAAATGTGCAGGCACAATGAATTAAATTAATAAACTGAATAGTTTATGCTGAAATTGTGTATAGCATTATTATATGATATTTCACTCAATCATGTCAAACTTTTATATATATCATGTGGAATTAGGTTTGAATCTAGAAAAAAGAATGGCTTACCAACATGCATTCATGTTTATATTTTTAATCATCCCAGGGAAAGACCCATTTCAAAGATTCCAAAACTATTCAATGTGCTGCCAATGCCATAACCTAGCATTGTTTTCTTCTTTATTTTATCTTTACATATTATAACATAGTTTTCTGTCTTTTCTAAAACAAGAAGGTTATATAACATCAGTTTTCTAGTTTATTTAATGCAAACAAAAAGGAAAAACCTAAGTAGGAGTAAATGCGACAGATACCACACAACAGACATAACTGACAGTTCTGATACCAATATTTCAGCTCAAAAGTTTGCATCAAATAGTCAGTGTTTTTAGGAGCCTACCATGCCAGAAAAACTTCCAAGAAGAAGCACCTTTCTTCCAAGCATATCCTTCAAGATCATTGCAACAACATGACCCTAGAATAGCATAAAGAAACCGACCAAAAGATAAAAATAATAGTACAATGAATACATGAGGAAACAAATAAGCATAATCTAAAAGATGCACAAATAAAATGCTTGAGAGTAAACCCAACCATACCAGATAGATTCGCAATCCCAACACATATGTTTGCCAGATCTGAAGGCGCCCCAAAGCTTTTAGAGACAGTCGAAGAAAAATAGAATACAGCATTTATGCCTGATAGCTGTTGTAAAGCAAAAATGGTAGACCCAATGAAAACCACTGCAAAATATGGAGGCGATAAGGTAATCATGCAGAAGGAAGCACATATGTCAAATCTAAATAAATCATATATTAATGTGAATTAAAAATATACTTTTGAAATGTCGGCCATACAGTAGCTGTGAGAACTTTACTGCCTCAAGTTCATCCCCTCTGTCAGACTTTGACAATTCTGCTATTGCAAATTTAACATGTGCTGCTCCTAAGAGTTTCTCAAATTCAGCTTCAGCTTCAGTGCCTCTTCCTCTCTGAACCAAGTCAGGAAAAACTTTTAGCATCAATGTTGATAAATAGCCTTCAATGGGTCAAAAATAAAATGAAACGCATTATATCTGACTCATACCTAGTATTAGCAGGTGAACAAATTATCACAGCTCTTATAATCCTTGTATAATATCACCAAAAGGCATGCGTATATGGGAGAAAAAAACAAGAAAGAAAGATTGAAGCCTGTTGCACCAACATATAATTCTGAGCACTAACATCCAACATTTCCGATAAAAGAGAAAATGAACCTTCTCTCTACTGGAAACAATAGAGAAAGCGAAGGAAAAATAAAAGAAGAAATTAAAAGAATTACCCTTTAAG